CATTTAGCATGAAATATAGAAATATATAGAAAATGTCCTAAAACACTAGAAATCTGTCCTGCACCTCCCCCCTTTGCCAACTCGAAATGCACCTGCAGAAAGTGTTTCCTGCTGAACATGTTTCGCTGATGCACAGCTTCCCCTGATCAACGCTAACAGAAAAAAATAAATGTCAGCAGTGTCTAAACAATTGTGGTTATCGGAAGTTGAAAACAAGCAGGCTTAGCAATTCGTTCCATTCTAAATACACAACATGAAGTCACTACATATACATTAGTAAAGAATGTGAAGTGGCAGTTCTAAAAACATTAGCAAGGAGCACAGAAACAGAAAAAAGCTAATGCCAGTGATTCACTTTTGTGCACATATGAGACCAACAGAAATAATTGCAAAAATGATCGCAGCTCTTGCTGGTTTCTCAGGGGTTCATTGCTTCATGCGATCCAAGGTTAACCACACTGTGCACCACTAAAACCCAGAGGGGAGGCTCAGTCACTTCCTCTCATGAAAAGAGAAGTGCACATCCATGCAACTCCTACATGTATGAATTTTGACTTACTGCTGTGTTGGTAACTGTAACCAAGAGCATCCCTACACAACAAAATCTTAAATACATGTAATAGTAAAGAATCCAAACACACCATGTTTAATTTGTCCTCATTCTGTAGGTGACACAACATCCCTCTGTTACATTAACCTTAACTTGAAGAGCTCCTCTCAGCTAAACTACAGACCAGACCTAATGCTGCAACTGGCCATTGTTTACAATTAATCTGCTAATTATCATCTAATTTTATTGTTATTAAATGTCAAAAATGTTGTGTTTTTTCTGAATTCAAAAGGTCTACTAGTTGCTCATTTTGTGCAGCCAACATGCCAAAACCTAAAGATATTAAAAACAAAGAGGACAATCCGAATAACAGAGAAGCCAGAAAAATAAGAGCTTATATTTTTAAAATTACCTTAATAGTGAATCAGTTATTAAATAGAGTTTTTCAGTTGTTGTACTGGTTTATCTATAAATGAACCGTTTCAGCTCTATAGCTACAAGTCACTCATCAAATTCTTAGTAAATGGAAATATATATTGCTAATATTAGGATTTGTGACAATTGAAAGACCTTGACAATAAAAAACCCTGAAAACAAATAGATATGGTATAAATTATTCAGGTATTATTTAGGACAGATTGTATGTCGTAACCACTTGCTGTTGTTTCACATGGGACTCCTCCGCTTACAAAATCACTCCAGAAATCTTTTTGACAGCTGGATTATTTATACCAACCATTTCTCTCTCCTTCTCCAACTTTTTTTTTTTTATTAAATCTGTACTTAAATATGTTGTTTACTATGCAATGCATAACTAAGTTCACAATACAAGCCAAACCACTTCCATGTGTAGTTTTAAGAATCTGACAGCTATATCAGCAAGATGACGCACGCTGCACTAAAACGTTTGGATCTTCTGTGAGAAGCAAAACCAAAGATGTTGCTCAACACAGCTCAGCATTGTTTTTGCTGGGTGGATCATCTGGTAACCCACAAAACTAGCTGAGCGCCCTTCCCCCCCCAGGCTCTGTTTGCCACCCGGTCAGCCAGCCGGCCCACACCTGCTGCAGAAAGTCACAGTCCACTCTCGGCCCAGTGGGTCCACAAACAACTCAGCATGACGCTTCATCCATTTCCTTAATTAAACCACACCCAGACACCGCTTTTGTCCCCAACAGGGTGTTGAAGGATCAGGAAGAGCACCTCGCTTCTGACTGCAAGCTCAGCGCGTTTGAAGGAAACCCAACCTAAATGCAGGAATGCCCTCTTCATCTAGCAAACATCTGCCATGAGGCGTGACAATGGATTCAAAAGTGCTGTCAAACAAGCTAAGTCTGTTTCTTCGTTTATGTTTTTGGGACAAAGCATCTGTAGAAGAATGTGCTGGTTCTGATGTCCACATTTTAACCATCTGGCGTTCAGCTGGCTATAAAAAATGGTTTGCTCTGCGTTTTAATTAGTACAATTCACAGCGCAGATTTCTACATTACCATAATAAAAAGAAAGCATCGCAACCACTCAGCCTAAGTTCAATGTGGAAAAAAAAGTAGGAATAAGAGTGAAGTGAGATGTGCTAATTCTGACATAAACAGCCTTGATCGACGTGGGTTTTAACATCTGAGAGCCACGTAAAAATCCAACAAATCAGATTCCCATACATGTAATACACCTAGCAAATACATAAACGTTTTCTAGAAATAGTTATATCCCCTTTTTGAGTTGAAGTATTAACTACAGGATCTGTTTGAGGTTGCGATCTCCCAGCCGTCCTCAGAGAGATGAGATAATGCATTCCAGTTTAACAAACGCCACGCTATGTCACGGAAAACTACGTCACTGGAATATGGGGTGCTTTTTCCCCCCGTTTCACTCTGACTTGAACCCAGACTTCACTCAGTCAGTGTGATGCCAAGAAAATGTGACTTTCTGAAGTTCTAAAACAACACCTGCAACAGTCACAGTCGTATTTCTGAAATAAATCTGTGCGTTAAGAACTTAGAAATAAAGTTATTCACCAAGACCTTTGAAATTAAACATCTTGCTCCCCTCAGATGTTTTATAAAGTTGTTTTTTTTAGCATATTATTTTATCAATGCAACTCATAAAGACATTAACCAGGTGTACTAGTCATCACTGCTACTCAGCTGTTCTCATTATTGATTCAGCTGTTTAGTGTATTGATAATTCACTGTTTAGTCTTTAAGGCTCTATGTGTAAGATTTAAAACACTCTGGTTGCTGTAAAGTGAACCGTGGTCTGCATCCTGTTGCTCATGCCTGCACTCCATAGTCAGATGGAAGCGAGCATCCTGGGAATTTGCCTAAACAGGAATATGACAAACACAAGACCCAACGTAACGGACTGACACATCCTTTTGGATTTTCCCAGAAACTTTGTTCTGAGGCCTTTATAAAGAAACCAGGGTCTCGTTTTTAAAGCTACATTACAATCTGTTCATACAATGACAATAAAAATGGGAGTAATACACCACATTTTCTGCATTTGTCAAGAAAACAGTATTTAAGAATCAAAACATTTTTCTGTCACTCTTCAAACCAGTCGGTTCAGACCATTAGTTGACTGCCTGACCCTTCATCGTTAACATCTTTGTAGAAACTGTCGTACTGTACAGCTCAGTTCACAGTTATTTCTGTAGGAGTGCATCTGTCAGCCTTCTCCTGTTTCTCACTACATCTCTTTGAACTATTTCATGTGTCTGTTGTGCTGTGAGGACTTTCGACATTTTACCACCAAGTGCGGCTCCTGATAAGGACAAAGGACATCGTCTGAGCCGTATATCTTCAAACATACCACTCCCATGCCTTTTCTGGCCATCACTGGAAGACCCGTCATCCATGACTCATAGCAGACAAGTTGGGGGTGAAGGGATCGGTATTGAGTAATGCTAAATGACCGATCAAACTGCCCCCGGACACTCCTAGCTCCTACTAAACATCACAACAGGGTAACTAAGGGAAGTGACTCAGTGATGCACAGAGAGCTGCAGACGCGTCTCCGCTCATGTCTACAATTACCAGGCCTGGTGTATATTATCTGCATCCGTGTCATGTGTTGCTGTACAACATCAAAGACATGTGTGTTTTCACACTTCGATATGGCGCTGCTGCTGCTGCTATGTCATTACAATGCTGACTAGAAGCCAAGGCGGGCCAGTAATTAAGCCAAGTCATTTTAATCCACGGTCACTAATTTAGGCCTTACAGCAAGAAGTTGGTGAGCACAGATTGCTAGTTTAACTCAGTAAATCAAACTTCTTCTTTAGATTCACTCGGGAGAAAAGAGACACCCTCAGGCTACAATTCTTTTCCAGGAAGTGAACGAGGTCGGCAAGAACAGGCTTGTCCTCCTGCTGCAGTCAACATTTCTGAATCACAGCTGTGGACGAGGCTCGACAAGAGAGTCTGGTTAACCAACCTGGCCTGCTTTAAGACCTCCTGGTCTCACTGTATCCTCAACCACAGTTTACACAGGCCATAATGGAGCTCCAACTGAGGATATTCTTTCCAAGTCATGACTTCACCTAACAAAGAGATGTTGTTCTCTGTTTTGCCCACAGGTAGGGACTTTAAAAGCCAGTCAGGTGGAGCTGAAATGTGTTTTTTAATACATAAACTACATTTCGCTGCCTGCTTTGACAAATCCACCCCAATGCTTCAACTACATTCCTCAGGAATAACAGGCTGCTTTGAAATAGGATCTTCACTTTCCAGGACAAGAAGAAAAAAATCCAGGTTGATGATTAAGGAATAATTAGTGACTGCTCCAGACAATGACAAGACTTGACAAATCCAAACCAACTTCTAACTCTCATGAACAATAAAGCTGTCCAACATCTGCCTTCAACTTATTTCCCATGTATAAGCACAGACACACTGAAAGACAGAGAGAACAAAACTTTACATTTATTCCAAGGCTGAATAAAATACGATATAAACCAGAGTAGGATCCCAGCAAAAGTCCCATCAGCCACTTCTTAAGTCAATAAAAAAAAAGCATATTTTCTAAACATCCTATGGGTTTTAACACAAGTGAGGTGGTTTAAACTTTAGGATGCCTGCTAGCATGATGGATCCAGTCCAGTCCTCTCTCTCTGTAGCCGACCACACTGCCCTCTTTGGTGGCACAAAGCGGCTACTTCTGGCCTACTTTCTCTACAAAACCCAAACTAAGATTTATCGAGGGGCTCGCTTGACATGTAGCTGTAAAGATGCCAACGTTTCACAGGCCAAGCTGTTGAAAACAGTGAAGTCTGAGGAGACAAACTCGGAGTGTGTTTCGACCGCTAGCTAGTTATCGTTCATCCACACCCAAAGTTTTCCCCTGAAGACAAGCGTCCCTCGCTTCTCCCCCTTTTCTCCGTTTACATTGTTTTCTGTCGCTGGCACACCGGGCAAATGTGACAAATGTAGGTTAAAATAACAAAACTCACCTTTAGCTGACAAGTTATTGACGTTTCTGTGGGTTCAGAGTAACATTTGCGCCCCAAAAGTGTCCTCTTTCAAGGAAATAAAAACGGTCAGTGAGGCGAGGACGAGCTAAAGCTGTGATGAGGGTCCGCTTTGTTTTAGCTAATAAGCCGCACCGATGTGACAAGTACGTTTCCGACTGAAACCCGGGTGGAGCTAACGTGTATAAAACAATTAACTTTTATAAAATAACTAAGGCTTGAGGGGCCCCTGGCTTGTCTGAACACGTTACGGCTCTGCTGCTGCTGCTGAGCAGTTTTTTTCTTGAGACCCACTCCAACAAACCTCTTCTTCTTATTTAGACCCCGCCTCCGCAGGAGGAGCCGCGGCACGCAGAGGGCAGCGGAACAGGCACACCGTTGTGACCCGCCTCACCTCGGATGTGGTGAGAATGAACACGCACGCGCGCACAGGCACGAAAACACAATAAAGACCGAAAAGATAAAAACACACATAAGCTTTAAACAAACAGTAAAATTCAGATATTTTAAACATCATTTCAGTCAGAAAGTCTGCACTTTTAGTTTTTAGATTCTCACATTTTTAGTTTATTACACGCAAACATTGCATTTATGACACTCAGCTTGTTATAAAGCTTCAGTTACACGTAATGCAAAATATAAACAACAACTGAATGATGATGCATGATTACATTACACATACCACTATTATACTACATTTAAACACCAGCACTAGCCCCACATTTATCAGCTACAATATTTAAAGTTCCTGCCTTCGCCCTGAGTCAGCTGTGATGGGCTCCAGCCCCCCGCGACCCTGGTGAGGATTAAGCGGTAGATAGATAATGGATGGATGGACTATGTAAAGGTTCTTTCTCAAAACACATCTTAATGTATCAAAGTTACATATTAAGTTTTCTTTCGATATCAAACAATCCCTTCCTATGTTAAATAGGCACCCAGCATCACCTTACAGCACATTTTGTCCCATTTTTATGCCACATACATGTACTGCACTGTATTTCAAAGAAAATGTGTTATTTTCCAGAGCAAACAATGATGAAACAGTGATGAAAGAAGTCTTCAGGTCCTTTACATTTGCAAAATGAGGAAATAATTCTCCCCTACAGGACAGAAGTAAATACACAAAAAGTACGTACAAATACAAATATGATATGAGCAGTGGACAATATTTAGCCACCATCGATATTTTGCTGATAATACTTTAGTGCAGAACTTTAACATGTAATGGGACATGATACATGTTGGTACTATCACTTTAACCAGCATTAAGGATCTGAATACTTCTACTTTCAGGGTTACTTCAGGTGAACAACCTCATATTTGAACCTTTGCACACTGGTTTGTTTTTTTTGTTTTTTTAGCTATGCTGCAGTCACCTTCACTTCCTTTCCATCTGAAATGTAGTTGAGTTGAAATCGCAGCACCAAAACAAATACAAGTGCTTGACAAGACAAGACACTTTCCACCAAACTGTTTCTGGTAAACAACCACAATATTCATCTCCTGCGGTTTCGGCGCTGCTGCACTGTCACCCACAGTGTTCATTTCCTCACAAAGAACAATATAACACAAACCTTCAGTGGCTTATTTAGTCAGCTAGGCCTATTTCCTGTACTCACACAATTCAGTGCTGGTGTGGAGGGCGTTTTACCAACCACAGCAGTTCAGTTGGTACCTTTTTAACTGAATAATGGTGCAAACTTGAGCTGTGAAGATCCAAAAAAACTGATGCAAAACATTTGATGGAATGGTGCAATAATATGATGCTGGGAGACCTTATGATACTGTCAGAAAGTGTGGATTAAGATGATTTTGACAACTTTATGAAGGAAAAGGGGTAATGAATTGCAGATGCTGCCTCACATTATGCATTGAGGCACGTTAGAAATATAAAGAATAATGCCAGTGCAAAACAGAAAAGAAAAAAAAAAGAACATCATTGCTCATAAGTGAAACATCATAAGAGTATAAATCCGACAAAGGGAACCAAAGCAAGAAATAAAGTTACAGAGGTTATAATAAACAAAGAAATCTGCTCTAGTTTCATTAATCAAAATGCTTTATTACCATGTTTCCTGAAATTAGACCCTTGTATGTTAAAAATGTCACCTCTGATGAGGAGCTTCCCACCCGGAGCCTCTATAATCACTGAATGATGTGTGATAAGAATGCAGCAGCTGATTCTGCCAGCTGGACCGATGACACATGAAGTCACCGTCTCCATTACATGTCTTTACATCACCACACACTCATCCTGCCACATACCTCCAGTAATCCATCCAGGGACAGTTCACAGAGCTCTTGTTTAAAAAAATTCAGTATCAGTTTCACTCACAGTCACACTTGGGAAAACACCAGTAGAACCACCGTCCTATCTGGTGACTGGGCCTTTGCTTTGTGGAGGGAAACTGCCTGACTCAATATTTAAAACTGAGCATGAAACTTGAGAAACCACCGGCGGAAGGATGAATAAAAAGGGCAAGAAGAAGAACTGTCTTTGTGATCATAAATTATTTAAGCATGGTGGTTGGTTTGCATTTGTTTGTGTTGCATAGATGAAGTAATGTCGTGTCTGTGGCGTCAGACTAAAAACACAAAGGTGTTTTCCTTTAAGGTGACAGAGTGAAATACAAACCACTAAGCACTAAGACATTTGCAATAAACTTAAGAGACAGCAAAAGAACACAACAGCTGACACTGAAAACAACAGAGTGTGGGAAAGTGGCACAGTGTTTGTGGCACCAGTTTGGGCAAGAAACCTTCACCTGAACCGAAGCCACATGAGATCAGACTCAGTTCAGCTGAGGAGGATGTTGTCGTTTAAAGTAGGTCACAAAACACCGAGCACAAGTCTTATGAGAACAGTGAGGCATTGAGTTGGAGCCTCTGGCACAGCTGCTGTCACACATGAAACTTTCTAGAGGAAACCCTGCCACCATGTGGACAAAGCATGACACAGCACATTCTGAAACCGAGCAGGGACATTATTATTACAGAGACTGTAAGAAAATTGTTCCAACTTTGATCTGATTCTTGTTTATGTGCACTGATTATCTCAGATTCTGAGCACAAATACAAATAAATATGCTGTTGTTCAATCGGCTGCTTCTGTATTGCAAAAAACACTGTGAAAATGGACAAAATGGCCATTGATTGAAATTGGACGGGTTAGGGTTAGGGTT